AACTTTGGAATTCCCAGAAGACAGGGACAATCCCTACTGCTGTGTCAAGCCAGACAGAAATGACATGCCCAGTAGATTAAAGGCATCTTCAAAGGTTGCAGATTTGGGTTTGGAGAGCGCTGTTCTCTCTGTTCCTGCAGTGTTTTGGTGTGCTAGCAGTGATAGCATGCTCTGCTTACACCTCTCCCATCTCTGCAGCCTCCTGCACAGCATGTTTGCTTTTGTTTAAAATACAGACACTTTGAATCCCATAACTTCTAACCCAGCAAACCGTTCTGTTGGTTTTGGCTGCCGTGCGTGATTTACAAACAGTGTGGAGGATGTTAGGAACAGTCACCAGATGAACTTCTGGGCAGCCCTGGCTGGCTGAGCTCCAGGTGAGCGTCCCTTGAAGCCCAAGGAAATGAAGGCAGGAACTCTATTTCTAAAGGGCTTCTTGGTGTCCACCCCTTTAATTTGTGCCAGGCAGACTGCCTGATGCTCGGAGTCCGTGCTGGCAGGAACTTTTAGACACAACTGTTTTTAATGAAGCGAGCAATCACATCGTAAACCCTGTGAATGAGTTCATCCAGCTCCTATGGAGTCTCACTGCCTCTGCAGGGAAAAAGGGCCGGCTCACCCTAGGCAGCAGGGGTTTAAGCTGCACCACACTCACGCCTTTGCCTCTTCCTACTCGACAGAAACGAAGGCTGCTAATGAGGAGGGATGCTGGCTCCTTACCGATGGTTGTTTCACAGAACTTCTCTTCTGCCACTTCACTAGCAATGTTGGCCCCCATGAGGACACTCATCTCTATTCCCAGTTTCTCATGGATAATGTCCGAGATCAGCCTCAGCCCATCTGGTCCTTCATCCACCCCCTGGGAAACGACCAGGGACAGAGGTGAGCACCTGCCCCCCTGGAGACCTGCCCCCACCTGCCCCAATCCCGTCATTCCCTGTGCTGGAACGCTCCGACTCTCATCCCAACGGCCCCCAGGGCTCCGTTGCACCCCGCTCCTCAGCGCTTGAGATCCCCCACATGCCCTCACCCTTCTCCTCCACCAATACGCCTCCAAATCCCCACAAAGACTCTGCCCCCACTTCCCACTCTCCCCACGCCCCCCCATAACCCTGCAGCCCAGTTTCTACTCCAAAACCCCGGGACTCCCTTTGCAGCCTCTCCGAGCCAGGCTGCTTCCAGCTAAGCCCCCTTGGGCCAGCGCCCCAGCGAGCTGCCCGGGCAGCGCTCCTCCTGCTCACACCTTGATGAGCGACACCCCAACAGCATCTTTCTTCACGTGGCCCTTGAGCTGGTCACAGACTTTGCCGATAAACTGGTGGGGCACCACGAACAGGAGGACGTCAGCCCCAGCACAGGCTTTCAGCAGGTCTGGCTCTGCTACCTGAAGGGAGTATGACTGTCATCAGGGACTTGCGTCTGTAGCTGCGCGGTGAGCGCATCCTGAATCCAGGAGAAGGGGAGCAGGGGCTTGAGAGCAACTGCTGGGGGCTTCCCTGGAAAGGAAGGAAGGGCACAAAGTCGCTGCCCCAAGGTCCCCTTCCAGGGCTGGCAGGGCAGAGGGGCTGGGGCAGAGCAGGGCAAAAGCAGCCTGAGCTGGTCCCACAAAGGTGGTGCAAAGAGCTGGGATCATCCTGGGAGCCTGAGCAGGGCAGTGCCAGCCGAGGGGCTGAGCGCGCAGCCGGGGCAGCAGCTCCGCGGGCTCCCTGCACGCTGCCGACGCCAGCTCGGAGGCAGCCACGCAGCCTCACACCCAGCCTGTGGGACGCCAGAGTGGGGGCAAAGCGGGGCAGCGAGAGCAGCCAGGGCTGCAGCTCGTCCAAGCACAGATCAAGGTCACCGGGAAGGTGTAACTGAGTCCCGTGCAGGCTGGTGCATCCCCTACCTTCGCGCGCTCAGGACACCAGGGCTCCGGCAGCTCCCGGCAGAGCTATTTATTACCTCTCACCAGAGAGCCCGGCTCTCAGCACCGGAGCCTGTGCTCAGCAGAGAGGCCGCCGGTGAGCCACACTCACCACGTTGGGGGGCAGCTTGTGCCCTGGCAGATACTTGACATTTTCGTGCTCCGTGTTGATGATGTCTGTGAGCCGCCGGCCACCCACCTCCTCCTCCAGCACCCACATGTTCACCTGGTTCTCGAAGGTGCTCAGCCGCGCCGCATTGCTGCCGGCGATCTTGGCGATGGCCGAGCCCCTGCGTGGGCAGAGCAGAGCCGTAGGCAGCGGGCACTGAGGCCGCTGGCACCAGGGAGCCCAGCGCACCACAGGTGACTGGGGTCCCGGTGAAACGGGGATGGCTCGCACTGGGTACCGTGGGGCACCGGGGAGGACGGGGACCACGCCATGCTCGAATTTGGGCGCCGGGCGCCCAGGCGGGAGGTGCTCACCAGTTGCCGGAGCCCACGATGCAGACTTTCTTGCCACCCATGGTGCAGGGAGCCGGGGCGCTGTGCAGCGCTGAGCCCGCCGCTGGTATTTCAAGGTCGCCCGGAGCAGGGGCGGCCCCGTCCCGCCTCCGGCCCCGCCTCGCCCCCGGGGGGAACCGGGCACCCCGGGGTGGCAGAGCCGCCGCTCTCCCAGGCGCAGCCGGTGCCCGCAGCTCGGGGCTGCGCCGTGGGTGCAAATTGCTCCCCTGAAGCCAAGGTGAAATAGCTCGGATCGCAGAACTGGGAGTCGTGACTGCTGAGCCTCTCTCCCCCCTTTTCTGCATAAAAGCATTTTCTTTTCCCCCTCGTCCCAAGAAGTGCCATTTTCAACCCCAAGAAAGAAATATGAACCGTCTGACTGCAGACCCAGGACACAACTCCCGCCCCGATCTCACAGTCCCGAGCAGCGCCCGAGCTGCCTGGCCTTAGGCAAACTGCCCGTCTACTACGGAGGATCTCCTCCCCTTGCAACAAGGGCTTCCAGGTTTTCTGTAAAGCATTACATTTCCACTTTTACAACCAAGGCAGGGTGAAGAGAGCAATGCCCCTTTTGCATAGTTTTAAACCCTTGCATGTAAACTTTAATACAGTTTTCTCAAAATTATGCCCGACCCCCGTGGGGCTTGTAACACAGCGCTGCAAGGCAGCAGTGTGGAAACCGGGCTGTCTACGTTTTACCAGCAGCTTGGCCACTGGATTTCCAGTTTTGCTCAAGTTACTTTGTTTACCACAAAAGCACTTTGCAAAGGCTTAGCAGACTCCGCAAGCCAGGAGATCCTTACATGAAAAGCTCTCTATAAAAGGCCAAAACACGAAGAACATTTTCTCTCCAGTCTCTTAACCCAGTTGGCTTTGTTAAAAAAAAACCACACAAAAGTACAGACGAGTACATGAAGTGTCATCCACCAAGGCAGCTGCTGAGAGAAAGCGTGCTGTCAGCACAGAAGGAGGGAGCACAGCTTCCTTCACAGGAGGCTTTTATTAAAACTGGGTGACGTCTACAAGGATACAGTACAAAAAAGAAATTTTGGTCCATGGAAAAAACCATAATATTCAGTTAAGAAAAGCAGTTATTCTGCAACAGCTATGTTTGCCTACGCAGTACTCGGCATCCTTCATGCGTGATTACCCTGAGGAGTCAGTGGGCTGCTTCGTCAGCACCAAGACCTTCACCCCAGTACCACAGAGGAGCCATTTCCTAAAGGGGCAAAGAAGGGAAGTCGAGAGTCTATTACTCACAGACATGTAGTAACACAGACACAAGGAGTAGGGCCACCCAGGCTCCCAAACACATAGCAACCTTCCCAACCCCACCAAAGCTGGGTGTGGGGATGAGGGGGGTTTGTCAGTAACACAATTTTGCAGCTGTTCCGAGAGAATATGACCAACTTTCAAGTCCATTTGCATTACAGTCCCGAGCAGAAATACTGAGATCCGGGTTAAGAGAAGCCGTTCTCTTATGCCTGACCACTAGTTCGCTAGTAATTCATTCCATGAAGAGGCGTCTGGGCTGCTACTCCCCACAGTAGAGAAAATCTACTTGTACATTCCTGAACCATGCTGGGCCTTGTGGCAGCCCCAGAACCTAAAACTTGACTAAAAACCACAGGAGCTTCAGCATGGAAACACCTACTAACTCGCATATGCTTGGAGCTCCGTCCATTCCCAAGGACTGTCCCGTTACACCCTCAGATCCACACGAAGGAGCCTCTGGTCCCCACAGCAAGTGACACAGGGTAACTGTCCCGAAGGAATGCGCCTACACCGCTGCACCCCTGCACAATTCCACCAGGCAGCTGGTGCATCCCCTCTCCCTGGTACGGGGAGAACAAGCAGCCGGATGGCTTGCTGGAACCACAAGTCTTTAGAAGTGCAGAGAAGTCTCACCACGCCGCAATGCCTCATCTCCCCTGGGATCCCGGCCTACGACAGTCTGTCAAAGAACACGAAGGGAACAGGGCAGGGAAAAAGGGACAAGGGAAGAAGCGATTCTCTACACAGTCCAGTGACTTCCTCAAGGAGGAGAGTGACCTGTGAGGCAGCCCAGTGCAGCAGCACCCTCCGAGCGAGGGAGTAAGGGCAGGGAGGTATGTCAGCTCACGGCATCCTGCCCACTACGTCTCCTGGCACCTTGCTATAGAACGAGGCAGGGAAGAGACCAGCGCCAGAACTCCACCCTTCCAGCAGATCCAGGCTTCCCAGACCCAGGTCTCACATGTGCCACAACTAGATGCTAGTTGGGGAGGAATGGGCTGTGGTTTCTGAAATCGAGAAAGGCTCCAAGTCAGCAGTCGTACTGGCTACCGGGGACACTACAGGCAGCGCGGAGTCAAGGGGAGGCTCTGGGGAGCCTTGGGACTGACAAGGCAACAGTCAGGAAGAAAACCAGGTAGAAATGTGTGCTCGTTGGAGCCTGTCTGCTCGCCACACCCCAGAAGACCCCAGGTGTCCTGGAGTTGCCCCAACAGGGACAATGCCAGGATGAATAATGATGCGGGCCTCGCTGCCGGAGTGGGATTATGTGAGCCTTAACAGTGTACTCTGCAGCTCTGTCTCCACAAATAGCTGTGATGCCTTCTGGCTGGGGAGGAGCGGAGCAGCCTATGTGTTACGGATGCCCAGGGCCTGCTCCAATTCCTGTCGTCTTTGCTGCACCTGCAAGAGAAGCCAGAATCGCAGCATTAACGTACTCAGATGGTGCAGCACCACAGCATCTGAGTAACACAGGACCCAGCTGGAAAAGGGCGAACTCAAACCGGGACCAAGATGCAGCAGCAGCGTCTTAGTGAAGCTTGGCACTGCCAATTTCCACTGTCAGCACAGAGCAGCGGGTACTCTGAGCCACTGCGTATGGAGAGGGACCCCTGCTCGGGGATGCTAACCTTGGAGTAGAAGTATCTGCAGACGGCTTCCTGAGCCCACGGCTGGAAGTAGAACTCAGCTCTACGCTCCTCTTCAGGATTCCCAACAACATCAGTCATTGTCTGGAGAGCACAAAGGACAAAACAGTTCAGGGAGCGCAAAAGCTGTGGCTGTGCTGAGCAACCCCCCCCCCCCCCCCCTTCCCCCCCACAGCTCACG